GCTAAGGAGGCGGGGAGAACGTGTGCGCTGATTGGTTCATTTAAAAGTAACAAGCACTCACCCCGCGATTTAAGACTTTTAAACGGCGTTTGCCCCTTGTCTCAAGTGTTGTAGTAGTGAAAGGACTATAGGTACATCCTGGTCGACTTTTTTTAGGGTAAGCATGGAACTATGTGACGAGCGTGACCTGATCTTAGCTAAGCTAGCATGTTACTAGCCTGATAGTCAATATAGTTTTTCGCAGCTAATGTGAAAGTAGTATTTTGATCGATAGCGTACACGGGCAAAATGAATGAAATGCTTCTTGGAGAAAAATGTGCTACTACAGCTTCCTGCTTGTCAGTCTTTGTTGCTGAATATGGTAGTAGTAAATAGTAAGAGCGTAAACAAGTCACATTAACTTGATCTCGCATTATGTTGTGTGTGGATGTGTGAGGTCAACGCATTGTCGTAAATAAAGTTTACGGATTAGGGGGCGAGACTGTGAGTTGCTTAAATCTTAGTTTTTACGCAGAACCATAAATCAAGCTTTCGGTTAAATTAATGTTAGAGGCACCAAATTATCAGTATTTTAATCAAACAAGATATATTTTACTATCGTGTGGTCAACTTATTCAGTGCATGTTAATGAACTGGTGGTATTTTATTTACAAATAGTCATGCAGTTTTATATTTCCATTGTTTTGTTATGTTGCATGTTTTTGTGTTGCCTGTTGGATAAAGACAGTTTTCTTTTCTGGTGGACAATCAGTTCTATTCTTGTTACCCATTTGCCTGGTAGCAATAAATAAGCATTATGGGATCCAGTGAGAGCAAGATGACTAAGGCTGCACCAGTTAATCCAGAACCAGCCATCAAAAACAATCGAGTCAATCATCTGATGGATCCACGCTCTCCCTCAGCGGGCATTGATCGTACGCCTATTCAGGTAGGTTACTTGGTTGATTTACTACCCGTCACACTGTAAACTGTTGCAGGAAAACATTTCAAAACATGCTAAATGTTTTTACTAGGTCAATGGATTTGTGTCCACAAATTCTGCTGTGGTGAAAAGTAAGTTTCCACTGGTTGTCACTGATCCCCGCTCACCTACTGTTGGCATTACCCGTACGCCTGTCAGAGAAGTCATGAGAGGTAACTAGTGGTTAATAAACAGTAACTCCCAGCTTGGCTTTTCTCACCTTCAAGATGCTGTATAACATGATATTCTTCCATTTGTCCCTGCAGCCACAGTTGGGTCCTTAGCTCGCCGCCTGGGTTTGTTTTTGAGCAATGAGATTGAAGGCAAAGTCCCTGAAGCCCCTCAGAAACTGAGTGTTGCTGTGGAGGAGGAAGCCCCAGAGAGTGAGGAGCTGGCTTCCACTGAACCCCTCCTGACTCCTCAGCCTTCCCAGCCCTTCAGCTCCCTGGCTGGGCAGACCAACCTCCTTGCCACTCCGGTGCTGCCTCCACTCCACTGTGAGGGTAACTTGAGCCCTTTCGTGATCCTTGAGGAGCCCCAGGTGGAGGTGGATATAGAAACTGAGGAGGCAGAAGAAGCAAGAGAGTCTCCTCTTCACAAGAGACTCAGCATGAGCCTGATAACTTGTCATGAAGGAGTAACCTCAATGCAGATCGTTGCTGAGATGCACTGTGACAGTACTCCTTCGCCAGTGCCTAGTGAGGAAGTGGAGACACTTGGGGATGGTGTGGATCACTCTTATGCCCTTCCTTCTATTACTGTTGAGCCTTCCTCAGCAACTGGTTTAGATGTTTCCCCTGCACAGCTAAAGGAAGAAGAGAAACTGAGGTCTTCTGAAAGAACACAAGAGCTTGTTAAAGAATCTTCTTTGCCCCCTGCAACCGCTTCACCAGCGCCACCAGTCGTTCTTAGCCCAGAGCAGCCACAGCTCTGCACCGGCATCCGCTGCCCCACCTTTGACTCAAAGAGCCCCAGTCAGGTGGTGTTCAAGCCTCAGTGGTTGGGGAAAGGGTTTGGTGCCACTGGGCGAAGAGCCAGAGGAGGGCAGGGGCCCAGCGGAAAAGGAGGCTCCTCTCCTCTCAGTGTCCGAGTGGCTGTTAAGAACGTAAACAGTGAAAACAGGGGACAATCTGGAAAACTAAAGCAGAGAGGTGTGTAGAAAGTGTGGATTGTTTTTATTTGTAACAAGTTGTATTTTATTTATTTATGTATTTATTATGCTTCATTTCTAGGTACTGAAGGCCGCTCTCCACTGCAGATCCTTAAGGAGGCCAACTCACCCAGGGACCAGTGTTCTCAGGTACTCTGCACCAGCAAACCTCTGTCGTTACTTACAGAAACTTAATTTGCATCATTTTTTTTTCTTTTTACGATAAAGTTATGGGTAAACAATTTGTTCAGAAAACAAAGAGGTAATGTTTTTGTCCTCCCCACATTCCAGATGAAGCTGAAAGTGCCTATACTAGATAAGCAGAGGTTTGGACACATGGACCGCACAGACTGCAGAGTGGTGGCACTGGCTCAGGATAAAGAGAACAGATGATGTTCAACAGTAATCTGGATAAATTCAATCCACTTTTATCTCTCATAATAACATGCTTTTATGTGTACAGTATTATATTTTTTTTGTCTTGGGTACATTACTTTTAACTGCCACTTTGTATTTTTTTTTTTTTGTAAATATAAATAAAGTTGTTTGCCTTCAGAATTGGTGCCCTAAATCCTCATACTGGTTATAAACTAGTTTTGCTTGTTCTTTTCTTGTTTTTGTTTTCTGTAACATAAAATGTAAACTTTCATCTCGAATAAAAACAATAAACACTATTTGATTTTGTGAAAAGCACAGATTTTATACAGCTGCCATTGTTCATGCCTCTTGTCCCACATTTAACACTTTGAATCTTCAGTAATAGGCAGTGGGGTGAGTCTCCCCAGGAGTTTTGTTCCATTCATAAATGTATCAATAGACCTCTATCTAAACCTCTTAATTTGTGGACGGAGGTTTTTATTTTTATTTATTTATTTTTTTTTGTAGTGCCATTAGAATTTTAATATAGATGTGCTAACCAAAACAAAAAAAAAAAAAAATACAGAATTCAACAAGGCTGGAAAAACACTCAAGGCTTGTGTAATGTAGAATCCCATGTTTATTAGACAGTTTTGATGAAGAAAGTACTGTTATATTGCACAGTGTGTATCCAAGTGTTAGAAAAGATGACATCCAAATTCGAGCCAGAGCTTGCCCATTTTTTTTTCTGTATGTTCAAAACCTGTTTTTCAAGTTTACTTGGTACCTTGCAGAGGTAAAGGTAGCTTTACAAATTCAGATGTATTGCTCATGTGCAAACAATAGTAGTTGTCATCTGAAATGACGCGTATAAAGAGTTCTCTCATGAGACAAATTGGCTTTTTTTTTTTTTTTGCAAGTGCTCAGTGAATCAAAACCATTTTAGTGTCTCATCTGTTACTTCAACAGTTTAACCCAAGCATTTTTCAGCTCTAGACACTGGGGGGGTATAATGCTGAAGGATGAGGCCCCATATCCTGATAAATGTTGTGCATGAGTGACAAAACCAGTCAAACACTAAAGACATCTGCAAACTATAACTCAAAATTACATAATGAAAAGAAGGTAAATGTAAGAATCTAGGGAAATCTATGCACACTAAAACAACAATCTGAAACAAAACACTATTATTTGTAGGACAATATATGTGTTGATATTACAGCATGTTAGTTGAGCTAGAGTGAACCTATGCAGCTGTAACTTGACACGTTCTGTTCTATTCATCCAGTGTGCTGCTATTTTTATTTGGCAACTGTTCTCACTGGGTGATCTTTGAATTACTGCAATACATGTGCACACGTTCTCAATTTGAACTGTAATGTAATTCACAATTAAGAGGAATGATCTGCCTAAATTCCCCCTTTCAGTGAGAAGAAAGGCAAGAGCGAAAGAAGAAATGTTCACATTACAACTGCTCTACAATTTTATATACAACTTGGCACAGTTTTAAAAAAACCCTCTTTTTACCCCATGTAACTCCGTATCCCTCATCCCTCCCTCAAACTCCAATTTTAATCTCATTTACTTTCTCCTGTGCAGATGTTAACTGCTCTCTTTCTTCTCACTGGTGATGAACAGCCTCAATTCCATATCTTGAGGAAGCTGTCCCAGGATCCTGTGCAACACGCCATACCATCTGGAGATACTCCGACACAGCTCACTCTGTTGTCGTGACCAGCTAGGACTCCTAGACCACAAAGAAAAGTAATGTTGTAAACTGGAAATGCCAGAGTCACTCAGATGCACAACACTCCTCCACCTATCAGGAGTTAAAAGCTGGAGGTTTTAAACATTTTAAAATCATTAGCTAAATTCACTGTCATCTTTTCTTCCATCTGTACTCACCCACTCTCTCAGCTTTGAGCGAGTCCCAGATGTTGACGTTGAAATCATCGTAGCCAGCCAGTATCAGGCGTCCAGACAGGGAGGGGGCCAGGGAAGTCACCCCACACATGATGCTCGAGTCCTGGTAGGTGATGAGCTCCTGGTCAGCTCGCAGGTCATACAGCTTACAGGTGGCATCATCGGAGCCTGTTATCACTGCTTTACCACTGGGGAAGAACTGGAAGAAAGACTAGATGTTAGGAACTAAGCAGCCTTTAAACAAAATTTAAAAAAAAGAAGCAGATCTCTGTAAAGAACTGAGGTGGAAATCCTACTCATCCTCACCCCAATTGCATTGATGTCACTTTCATGCCCTCCAAAAGTCTGTCTGCAGGTGCCATCCCTGATGTCCCAAAGCCTGGCAGTGTAGTCACATGACCCTGAGATGAAAAAATTGAAGTCTGGAGACACAGCCAGGGACATGCAGTCTGACTGGTGTCCTGCATAAATGGTCTTTTTGCTCCCTGTTTCAATGTCCCACAGTATGCTAGAAGGAGATGAACCAAACACAATATTTGCTTAAGTTTTAGCAACACGGATGGAAGTGGCAACATACTTATGTTAATCATACTATGTTCTTACGAAGTCCAGTCTCCAGAGCTAGTGAGGATCTCAGTGTCATTGAGGAAACGACAGCAAGACAGGTAACCTGCAGAGCCAAAGAAATATTTTTCAAGTACAACAGAGCATTAAGGACTTCAGGGGACTCTTTTCCAAGCTGTGTCATCCTACCTGAATGTCCCACCAGCTCACGCATGACCTTGACGTTCCCATCCTTGCCTTTGAGGTTGTAGATGGAGCACATGTTGTCCAGACCTCCGCAAGCTACCAAGTTTCCTGAAGGTGCATAGGCACAAGTCATCACCCATGATGACTTGAGAGGGATGGCGTTCACCTGCAGACACACAGAGGACAGGTGAAACGCTTGTCTTTAACCCTAAGACCAAATGGATTTCAAACACAAGGCCTCGTTAGGTTGCATGAGTGTGTCTGATATACACTGTAAAGTTTAGGACTAAGTTAGTGCTGGCTCAGCATTTGTTTACTTTAAGCAGGATACACCTTTTCTTCCTCATGCTCTTTCTTACCTTGTTGGTTGTGATGGTATCCCACACTATGAGTTTTCCATCTTGTGAGGCACTGACACACAGCCTGGTGGAGGTATATTGATAATGATAAAAAAAAAAAAATCAAAGAACACTGAAGAAAGATGATACAGTGATAAATCCAGCTGGGGACTGTACAACAGGTGTAAGCAATACCTCTATTAATTCATCGAACAGATGTAGTTCACAGAACTAATTTATCAAAATTCCATGTCACATGTATCGGTTCTTCTTGCTCTAATTTTATGCTAAATACATTAAAACACTATCAGCTCTTGGCTGTGAAATATACAGCAGGTGGTCTTTCAGTTTCACTAAGCTGTGTATATATTTACCTGGAGTCAGCAGCCCAGTGCATAGCGTAGATTTTTGCCAGGTGGCCCCTTAGCGTTTTCCTGGTCTTCATCTGGATACGGCCCACTGCGGCGATACTAGCTGCTACCTCCTGCAGTGTGGTGTCTTGCACTGCCTTGCGAGCTGCCTGGGGAGCATACACAAACAGAGGTGGTCAGGTCACTGCAGTTATGAATAATGGCTATATACAGTAGGTTTGGGTGGAGTAAAACTGAATCTATGTCAGATTTTTTTTTAAAGAATACATTATCAGGTAAGAAGCAAAGTCACATTATATTATGGACAATCATATTTATTACAGATGGCATGGATGGGTCTACTGACAGTGATCTGGTCTTTGAGACTGTCCGCCTCCTTTCGCAACTGCTCCATTTCACCCATGACGATGGTTGTTAGGCACTGTCACCAGGGAGAGATGTCAGGAAAGTTGATAGTCCTGAAAAAGAAAAAGAAGAGAGGCAGGTAGACAAAAACAGAAACCAGTTAACAAGAAATTATTTCAGATATCCCAGGAACAGCACAACCTGTACTAATGCCTCATGCTGAAATCTTACCTGCACCTATCTGAACGATTTAGTTTCTGTCTCCAAGTAAGTCCTCTTTTGCAAGTCAAACTGGACCTCATCTACTTTGCAAACTTTCATAATCACACACACAGAAGCCCACACAACACGCCTACACTTGCGTTCATGTATGTGTGCACAGACACACACGCGCAGACTGTATAAATATTCAAGCGCAACATTAACAGCGCAAGTATTTGCTCTTCAAATAATATGACACTTGCTGCGAGCTCACATCCTCATCCTGAATGTACACACAAACCAGTATGTCCTGTAATAATGTCATCAGTGTGTCAGCTCTCAGGTCACTGATAGGGGAGTTTGTGCCATTTAACACTTCAGCACACTCTTTTAATGTTAATGGCTATTGGATTTGGTAATGTCACGATTAAATGAGCAATGTTTAGCAGTAAACCAATCACCTAATGGACAAGCTCATACAGTGTGACAAGTGAAAAGGCACAGTCATGATCTCAAACTGATTGTACAGAAGCAGAGCAGTTCAAAGAGGAAAGCAGGACACATGGCATTAACTTCAAGGCAAAGAAGCACAATATAACAAACCTCCTCCTACTGTACACATGCAAGTACTAGATACAAATTACTTTTCTTTTCTTGTGAAGCACTAAGTTATCATGATGCTATTTCCTTTATCTCACCTTGAAAACTGAGGAGGAAATACTTGATCGTTGATCTTATCGTACGCGTCCCTGCAGCAATCTCTCTCTCTCTCTCTCTCTGTTTCACTATTTGAATGAGTGTCCCTGTCAAAACACATGACCAAGTGGATTTGCCTCTAATTTGTTTGAAGAGAAAGGGAGAGGAAGGGAGTGAAGAAGGGAGTGATTCTGTAGGAGAAAGAGATTTGCTTTAATTGTTTGCCAATGGGACCTATCATTTATCTAGCTGTAGTTCTTAAAGTGAATGTGGACTGAAACATGTTCAAATGAAATTAGAGTGCAGTGCTCCCAAACACCTCAACAGCTACTATATGGGTGTAGTGCCTTAAACTGCTGGTGACCACACAGTCGCTGGAGTTGATAAGAGGGGATTTTAGGCCTTTGTTCCAGATGGAAAATTGTTGCACTAATGAGTGCTGTAATGAACACTTGAGCGTTACACTCATGCTATTGCCCTTTTGCCATTCTGTTCCTGGGACCCTGCTCTTGTTCCATGTGATTAAATGACTGCTAGTGGTCGCTTGATAGTGAAGTGCATTAACTCAGCCAGAGAGAAGAGGAGGCAAAGGGAGGGATGGGAGAGGATGGTGGGTAAGAGGCGAGACAGGAGAATGAGTTTTAAATCCTACTGACTGTGATTTTAAGGGAAACCTTTTGAGTCAAATCTGCTCTCATCCGATTACTGACTGCTCTTTGCATCTGGATAAGAGATGGAGAAAGGGATGGGAGAGCAGACAGTGGTATGAAAATGAGGGAGAAGGTGGGATTGGGACAAAGAGAACATTGTGAGAATGGATGCTGGTCAAAAATGGAGTGTTTCTGGTGGACTAGGCCTACGAACTTGAGTCTGACCAGTGACTGTGCTGCTCTGAAGTTTACATATTTACGTCAGCTGACAGCTACTGACCTGTTACAAGTCAAAGTATTGTATTCTTTGTTCAGTTCACAGTCCAATAACATAATCTTCTGATTGACAGTGTTGAAAATATGGCATCATATATGAATTTGATTTAAATGATCACCTGTTGTAACTCTGTACTGGCAATATACCTAATTGCCAGTTAACACTAAACAAATATACTGCATCTATAGGCTGTTGAGGGCAATGCTGTAAAACAATGACCAGAATTGATGGTAATAATGGATTTACATGGCATTTGCCTTGTACCTTGTTTATGACGCATTTAATTGACTGGACTTTTTATTTTAATTTAGAGTTTCAAGGAACTTTATCACATATATATATTGATATAGTGATATAATATCAGATATTGAAATAGAAGATTTCATCCAGATTCTTCTTAAACCTACAGATGTCCAGTTTTCTGCTCTCTTCAAACAGACATTCAGTGAGATCTTAGATAAAAGATTTTACCACTTGCATTCCATATTTTACACCCATCAGTGATACAAAACAAAAACAACTTACCACAGTTTACTATGCAGATTATGTTTGACAGTATAATCAGAGCCGCTGTACCAGAGTCAAATTCCTCATGTGTCCAGCACACCTGGCCAATAAAGCTGATTCTGATTCTGATCAGTCTACATTACAAAACCAGCATTGTATGGTGATCTCATGTATAGCTCCTGGAATGCAAATGCACATACGAGTGCATCAAATCTCTTTCATTCATTCATCGTTTTTGAATGTCATCACCATACTTTCTATTTAAATATATACAGTATTTTAACATACATCCTACAGTACATACTGCAAGATATAAGATACATGATGCTGCTCAGTTTAAAAGAATACCAGCCATATAAATGGTCATCATATGCAAACAGCAACATACATAGCCATCCACCTACCAATTAGGAGACTCTGTTCAAGGTGTTTCTGGTAGATCTTTAATCACTCTTCCTCCAGCGGTCTCCCTCTGGCTGTTCTCATAAGTTCAGCCTGTCTGTTGCTAAACTTTCTTCCACTTAATCACCTTTAGTATAACACACACTGTGATATTCCCCCATCACTCACTCTCTCCATCGCTCCCATGAGGAACAGATGAGGATTGGAGGGATGAAGGGAGATCAGTGATGAGGGGATAAAACCCTGGCATGGTCTGAAAGAGAGGTGTGTGTGTGGGATGGGGGGGGTTATGAGACCAAATAGGAAAGAAAAGAGTGGGGGAAACCAAACAAGGCGCACAATACAGTTACGGGATCACAAGACATGGGCTGGGGTAAATCTGTACTAGATACCCCAGAGATGGAAAGGAAAAGAAGGTAAATAGAGGAGCTGGGAACATGGCTTTTTATGGTGCTGACGTAGTCTTTAAAAGATCTAAGGCTGAGTGCAGGGTTTGTGTTTTGTAAACCCAAGGTGAAGCTAATATTAGAATTTTTACAGGCAGAGGAGGAGATTGGCAGAACAGAGCTCAGACAGGGTGTAGTGATAAAACAAGAAAGAACTACAGGATTCTGGTTCATTCTTACACACAAGCAGTATAGGATAGTAAATCTTTGCCCATGCTGGGATATACATTACAAAAGATGAGTAACACGTACTGTTTTATTTAGGCATTCAGAAGTATTTTTTTTTCTGCCCTGTGCTTTGCTGTGTAGAAAACCAGTGAAAACACATTTAAATTAGACAAAACAGGCTCTGAGTCCTCAGAAGGGCACTGGGATGCTGCTGTAGCTGATGTGACCTTGGACCTCACAGAGCAATGTTTTCTACAAGAATCAGCATCAATCCTTTCTGTGCAAAACCCTCTAGGCCATAGCTGTGCCATTGATATTGTAGATTATGGACTCCTTTGTTTGTGTGCTTGCATATATTTCTGTGTATGGAAGAAAAAGGCTTTCACTGTGTGTGTGCTTTGCTGGTTCCTGGGTTTTATTCTCTAATTCAGCATAGATAAATTCAGCTCTGAGGTTAAAGGAGCTGACCTTTGTTCACTTGAGCGCAGTGATGCAGGATTTGGAGAAATGGAGTCGGGGCAGCGCTGGTGGTGGGATGGAGCATAAAACCGAGAGAAAACCAAAAAGAGGAAAGACAGAATTTGTCAGCAGGCACGCAGACACAGATCAGGATAAAGACAAAAAGAGGGAGTTACTATTTGTTACTGATGTCTTGAGCTTGCATTATAACTGAAAGAGGGAGTTACTATTTAAAGACCACTGATGTCTTGAGCTTGCATTATAACTGCTATAAAATCTTAGCTAGCATTACTTTAGCTCTCTTAGTACCAATGCTAATATATTTTAGGGAAGTATATTTCAAGGGTGGCTAAACGTTTGTCCTTGTTTTGAATAACTAGGGTACAGGATGGCTGGATTAAATTAGTCAGTGTCCATTAGTCAACTACTGAAGAATAAATTCATGAATTTTGATCCTCATTGCTCCTACTTAAAAACATGCTAGGATTAGACCTATCAGTGGTGCAAAGCATCATACAGTAAGGTCAGAAGTCATCAGTAGACACCCATTAAGTGAGCTGGACCACAAATAGTGGGGAAGCTGAAATTTCATGCTTTTCTGCCAAGTGTGCAATTAGACAGCCAGGGTCTTTAGTGTGATAATATCTTATATACATTATATAGACATAACACCTATATCACGAACGTGAACTCTTAGGTTTCAGTGTGAAGGAGGAAAAAGGCTAAAACCAAGGCTCTATTCAACGGGCCTGCCGACCCAATTCTGCAGCCACTGGGATTATAAAGCAGAAGGGAGTGAGGATGTTAATATGGGCCGTACTCAACTCTGGACCTAATGCACAAGACGAAAGCAGAGGAGGGGGCTGACATTGGTTGTAAGATAGACAAGATGGAAGCATCACTGCACTGGATGTCAATGATTAAATGGTTTCTGGCTGGATTACTATTCCATATTCTAAATGGAAGCCTTTTTAAAGCTTCATAAACAAATGCACTCATTTATGAGGGATTAGCAGTAATCTCTCTATTTCTCTTTTTCCCTCAGCTCTCTGTGTTCCCTCATCTCCCACTTACTGCCTCCAAGTCCATTTTCTCATACACTGTGCTAATGTTACTGTTTCTACGGTTTCCTGCTGCTGTGTAGCTGCCTAACTGCACATCTTATAAAGAGGAACAAACTAAGAAGAGTGTTCATTTTCTAGTTTTAATCAGCAGGCAGCCACAGAGGGTGTGAGGCAATCACTTAATAGGTTACACATCCTTTCTATTTTGTATCCGTTTGTTGTCTATCTTGCTCTAATGCTTTCTGTGCCTGACTTTCTGTGTAAATGTGGCATACAGTACTCAGCACACATTGTTAAAGAGTCACATTCATCACTTCTTTTATTCTCTTCATTTTTAAAGGGGTGATATGGGTCAGTAAAGCTGCTATAGTAAAAAGTACAGCATGACATTACAAAGAGAAAAAGGCAGCGTTTCTCTCACTTACCTTCATCTGCTCATTATAAATAGTGTATATACACACACACACGTGCAAGCTTTACATGAAAAGGGAGCGGGGTGAAGAGAGTGAATGGAAATGGAAAATGATGTTACAAAAGCAAAGAAGTGTTGGGATGGGGGAAATTTCCACAAGAATGAATGGAAATGAGTTTCAGTCTGTCAGGTTTCTCCTGGCTCTCACAGCTCGTCTTTGCCCCCCATCACCCTGTCTCTCCCTCTGCTCTTCTCCTTCGGTGCTTGGCTTCGAGCGTTCCGGGCAGTGGTGCCGCTGCCCTCCGCTTCCTCCTCATCCTTTTTCACCACACTGTGTCCATCTGCGGCCCACAATGCCTCCGCCTCCTCTCGTTCCTGGGAGACACAAGTACAGAAATGGCAAAAACTGATATACTGACTTCAAGTGGCCACTATGGCATGCACAACATTGTACTTTATAACCTTCTAGTTCCAGACAAATACTCTGAAACCACTAATGCTCTCCTCTACAGCCACCAGTGGAGCCACAAGTAACAACTGTATGATAATGATAACATTTAAAACAGTAGCACTAGCAGAGAAAAGTACTAACTCACGAAGAAAACAAACTACATGATGTCAGTTTCACAACAATATTTACCTTAACCTTGCCAACATTAGCTATGTTAGGTATTTTTAGTCAGATAGATACTGGTTAGATACTTTATGTATTAGAAATGTTTAGTGGAGATAGGATGTCTAGTTAGACTGTTAAATGCTTAGTCATGCTTATGAGTTTCTACAGGGTACATCTGGTCAAGGATAACTAGAGAGAAGAGTTGATGACTGTCAGCAGACAGGATGTTTAATATTATTATGACGTGTATAACTGTAGCCTTAGCCATAATATGTTCTTATGTTTAAGTCACGACATGTTACTAGAGGTCGTGAGAATGTTTTTAGCTACACACCACTTAATCAACAGACACTCGCACATTGATTTGCTTCATGTTTTGACTACTGCTATGACCAGCTGCAGAGCTGGTAACAGAGACGTCTCGGTTGACGTTTCTGTGTAGTATGGGGCTAGCCCAACCGAGGGGATATAATGTATAGGCCTGGTGGGTTCAGGGTCTTTCATCTTACATCTACCTGCGTGCAGTATGGAGGTGCAAGATACCTGAGCGTGTAATGTTAATTTTACCTGTGATCCTTTGAATAAATCAGCACTGTTTTGAAGTTACTTGGACTGTCTTGTCTCTAGAGTTAGCAATGGTAATACGAATCATATCCTACAACTAATATTAGCCACCATAAGCTCCTGGCCATACCAGAGCAAGTAAGGCTGTAGGAGCAAAACCTCTGATTATACTGAACAAAGCCAGGGTGTATTTTGTTGCTTGTGGGTTTAACTTTTTGTTTTAAGAAATATTTGTTATTGCTTCTCTCTGTAAAGATGAGTGAGACAGTCTGCATGATGCTAACTGAACTAGCAAACTGCGGTACTGTAAATATTAAATATGATTTTTTTTTTTTTTTTTGGCTGGACAATTAAACAGCAACACTTCTGAGGAGCTCCTGCCATTTAAAATGAGGACACTGTCATGTTTGTTCTGAATGTGATTCCTACAAAATTCACACCAAATTATAATACTTAAACTTGGTTTACAAATTGATATGGCAACTGAACCACTGGCATGGTAGGATCACAGACAGGGCACTGTAAATGACACAACATGAAAACAACTGCCAATTTGCATTGTACTCAGGCTCCAGTTGGTCTTGCCGCCCAACACCGGTGTCACGACATGAACAACCACAGGCGACAGGCTCGACCTGAAAAGCTCACTGCTGTGTGTGTTGTCATCATGCCCACCATGTCCCTGTAGAGCTTCTCCTTTGTGAACCACAGGCCCAGTGCACACCGCCGTCCACTGGTCACTGCAGTCACACCATGAGGATTTACTGGACCTGAGGAGAAGCCTACCAGGCGACCGCAGCTGGGTTTTACTCGAGCCTGGAGATATGAAGGAGGGAAGGATCTTAAAGTCACCAGGTCCAATAAATATTTTACAGAAAGACATGATCTCTGATATTAAAAGCTGGGATCAAAGGTTGAATAGTCACTTACTGTTACTGTTTTGGCATCCCTGTTAGTGAAAAACAGCTCTCCACCATCGAAATTGTCATTCAGGTAGAGAATGGCACTGTGGGAGAAATAGATTTGAGGTCCACCATTTATTCATAAAAACATCCATTATGATCTATTCCAATTAATATATCTGCAGCCATTCACTTTGGAACTTTTTGTTAAAATATTAATTTCAACCTAAATCAATGTGTTGAATTTGCAGTGTAACAAATCAACACTAATGCAACTTCCATTCCAAATTATTTCTCTTGTTCTCTATTTTCCCTGGTCTCCCTCTCCATCTCATTCTGAGGAAGAGTGTCACATTATAATAAAAAGAATATCACTTGATTCAAGAAGATTCTGTGAAAAGCTTATTATATACTGGAATAAAATGATATCTCAGCTTGTCAGCATCTTTAAATATGATTTATGGGAAGAGTATAAGACTAAATAAATTATTAATTATGGAGTGATGTTATTTTTGTGTACCTCAGGTCCCTGTGTATGAACGCCGGTGGCTCCCTCCAGCATTGCTTGGTCTCTGGCTCAAGAAGACAGTTGTCAACATGGACAGGGTGAGACAGGTCCAGCCTCCCTTCCTGGTCACCTGAGAACAAGGAAAATCTGATTTAGAAACAAACTAACTTGCCAAGAAAAGCACTGGAGTTTACAGTATCAGAACTCTGAGAAACCCTGTTCTAGTTCTATATGAGCAGATTAATTTGGTTTCTAAGTTCTAGCAAATGGATAATGTTGGTATTACCCGCGATCGCACTACGACAGACCAGGTGTGTGAAAGAGATGATGAGTCTTGAAGGGCTCCTGAAGTACGAGTGCAGCAGGACTCTCACTCTCTCGCCCAGCTCGTGTAACAGCCTGGCATCTGATTGGTTCACCAGGCCTTCCTGAGCCAACTGTGAAAGAAGATGTTAAGATGACTGAAACGTTAAAGCTACTCCACCTAATTTCTTTTCAGCCACTAAAGGGTCTAGTGGGACTCAAAACAAACTGACCCCATAAGAAGCTCCTTACTGCTCTTTGCCCCTCCCACCAAAAGATGATGATATTAGTTCACATTGGCATAATTAATTTTGAGCATTCATGGTCACTTAAAAAACACATTGTGCCTGCATTATTTCATGTTCACCCACCTTTACAGCCCTGAGCACAGTCAGGCCCTCGAACGTCTCATGAGGTGTGTGCACGGACCTTCGTCCCCGGTAACCATCTCCAGCTGATGCAGCAACCTATCAGACACAGGAGGAAATAGTCGTTGAGAGTGCTGCTGTTTCTGTCTGATAAGGTCTGACTATTTAACAGTCTGAACGTACTTCTGCTAACTGCAGTATTCTGTCGCACTCCTTCTTAGTCATGACTCCATCGAGTACTACACGATTAGTCCCGTTTAAAACCTCGTCATCCATGGTGATGGTCACACCCACCTGGGGGACTGAGCCACCTGGAGAGAGGGCCAATAAGAAAGCATAAAAAGGAAAATGGATAAATTATCAACTGCGACAAACTAAAACACAACAGTGGACAGACTGTCTTACCTGAAAAAAATCCACTGTCATCCACTTCCTCCTGCTGCTCTCCCTCTTTCATTTTCTCATTCGTTTTCTCTTTTTCAGCTCTGACGTTAAAACAGAAGATACTGAGGTGCCATTACATTAACATAATAAAACACAAGTTACTAAATCACTTTTCTTTGTGTCTGTTTCACCTCCATATCTCCCTCAGTGACTCGGGTACAACATCTTCTGGAGTCCAAAGATCCTACATGCAAAATAATTTTTATCCTCTTGGAGTTTTAAAGCTGTTCCCTTTGTGCATCAAAATCTTGTCTATTCATCATTAGTACTTACTGGGTCAGTGAAGCTGAAATCCAAGTTCTCCATACCAAAATAGAGAAGCTTTTTCTCCTGCAAAGAGCGACTGACGTATTTGACAATCTCCTACATGACAAACACACACATACTTGTGGTTAAACATGAAAATTAAGTTCAATTTGAATTTGAGTGCATATCTGAAATGACCAAACTGTGATTCCTCACATTCTTTTATGGATTAAGAGCAAACATCTTTGACAAAAACAAACTGACACAATTGTCTATAGGTACTGGAGTTTTCAGTCACATTTAGCTAAGAATTGTTTCATTCAGGTCAATTGTAAACCTTTAAGCTCAAGATAACGATAGTAAATCTTGGAACTTAGATCATTATTATCAACAGAGTGGTGATTTCTGGGCAGCGGACATTAAGTAGTACCTGCTCAGGCTGTGTGACTTGTGACTCTTTGTCTCCCCCTAGTGTCTCATAATAGAGCTGCAGGTTGTCTAAGGAGTCCTTGTCAGCAGGGTAAAATAGGAGAAGTGAGCGCAGAGTCTGCACTGCTCCACTAATGTCACCAGCTGTGGAGAAGCAGTAAAGCAAGACAAATGGCACTTAGGGGGTCAAAATGAAAGTGGCAAAAGATGACATGTTGTCAGTGTATCAACATTAGCATTGGATCGTCACACCACAGTAAATGGTCATCATTTTGAACTTTGAACCCTGACCTTTAAACTGTGCTATGTGCAGATGTTCCAACTGTGTGGGCAGGTAGTCCTCCTGAGCAGAGATCCTTCCAGGTCGTGTGGATACCTGAGTCACACAGGCCTGCCGGCACGAAAGCAGGGAGAGGGCGAGCGCTACAGGAGATGGGAAAGAGAAATGGTGACAGTGGGTACTTACTGTTCTGTTTCTCTCTTGTTCAAAGCAGAAAGCTTCAGCCTAAAGCTCTTTGTCCTTTTTCTTACCTGCTGCCTTCTCAAAAACGCCATTAACACTGTCCACTCCCCTGTCCTCAGGCAGCCTTTGGGAGGCCACTTCACACTGTATCCTGCACTCCTCTGTCTGCTGCAACGTTTCATTCACACATGCTTTCCATTTTTTTGCTGCTTGCACCCAGTCAGAGGAGGCCTCATACTGGAGAGCAGCATCATACAAGGCCTGGGTTTGATAACACATAGACAAAGAATAGTACAGGTAGTTTAAAAATGAAGACTGGCTTGTATTATAAGAAAAAATAAAAATGTCAAATTGTTCTGCCCACTGAAAAAAAGAGTGGATGAATTTTGAGACATGCCGTTACATTAACTTTGTAGGCCTGTTTCAGACGAGCCTAATCATGTCATAACAAGTGTCTGGATAAAACTCAGCAGCTAAGGCAGACAACTTCAGTGAGTGAAACCAGGTTTGGATTGCATGGTTGGATAACAGAGAGTGAAGGTGAGACAGAGAGGAATCCTTGGGCCATGCCTGCCTGTCGCATCTCCAAAATATTTCTTTTTGAATCCTCTTCATTAACTTTGGAGTTGTGAGCTTGAGTAAACTTGATTTTAGTCCAGTAGTGTTAGACATGTTACCCCTGTCTTCACTTAGACATTATATTATATTTGATCAGCTGGCCAGTGCAGTTTACTGACAAAGCACTATATGATTTCAGGGTACAGAAGTTGGAACATTAGCTACTGTGGTGATCAGAGCAGCAATTCCACCTTGTGCGACCCCATTCCCTCCTCCTTTTTTAACCCCCCATCATCCATCCTTCCTCACCCAGTGTTTCTCTTTCTCAGCCTCTCTGTCTTGGAAGGCCTCCTCGTTCACTCCTTTCATCCGTCTGTACTTCTCAATGTTGTTCCTCATCTCCAGATGACTGGGGTTAGCTACAAAATACGTATGAGCAGCTGATGCTGCCTTCTGCAACTTTTCCAGCTGATGTGGATGAAGAGGAAAGTGTGAATAAAAGTTTTTATACACATAAAGGAGTTTTACTATAAATACAATTGTGACATGAATCATAATTAAAATTAGAGACAACAACATGAAGCTGTACGCCTCTAAATGCCACTTTCAAATTAAATAATATGTAAGTCTGTCAGTAGTAATTAGAAATGACCAATTATTGGAATATTACACACTTTTATGGCTGCCTAAAGAACCACTTACCTTATAGTATGTGACCTGCAGAAAGTTATAGGGGTTGCGGGTGCCAAACTCATAATCTATATCAGAAGAAACAGGAAGTTGCCCTACACGGGTCACAGCGCGTCCAATGCAGAACCTCAAACACTCAGCCCTCTGCTGCACCCAGTCCAAGGCCCAGAGGTCCCACATGCTGCCCTCTTCAGAGTCTGGAAAAACAGAAAACATGAACCTTTATGTGCACTGAAATATACCATTGAAAACTGTCCGTTACTTATGCAAAAAATAACAACTAAATTAGAAACATTGTTTATGCACTGGGCAGCACAGTGGAGCAGTGGATAGAACTGTTGCTTCTTGGCAAGAAGGTGCCAGGTTCAAACCTGGTGGCTGACCAGACCCTTTCTGTGTGGAGTTTGTGCTCCCTGCATGGGTTTCTCCAAAGACATGGAAGTCAACTGGTGACTCTAAATAACCTGTAGGTGTGAATGGTCTCTATGTGCCAGACCTGTGATAGACTAGCTGCAGATTAATGGATGTTTATGCACTGTCAACATCTAGAGTATATTTTAAGCCTTTTGTGTTTGACACTACATACTACTATATATTGATAATAACTGTTTAATTGATACATAAAACTATAACTACCATTTGATTATTATTACTCATGTATTTATGTAAAAGCAGGATTTTACTTTTGCATCTGGTTGAGGTGGAGTTAGTTCTTAACCTTTTACTATTACAGAACTATAAGAAATGATTATCATTTGTTTTTTGACAATTGTAATTATCTTTGATTCAAAGCAGCCACTTTGGCTCCCTGCTATGACTAATGCTAGTAAAAAAAATAAATAAATAAAAAGAAAACTGGGCGAACTTCAAGCAAAAATGTTGCAATTTGTTTTTATGTATTGAAGAATATTTCAATAAATGTATCAGTTGGACAGGCCAGTGCCTCCCAATCCCTAAGGGGGTCCCATAAATCTGAGGGGTGACAAGATAATTGAGGGGTAAGAAAGAAGAAACCACATTTCTGTTGCACAAAATTATGTTGATTTCGCTCTCTTTTATTTAATGTTTTCGTTTTTCCTGGGAAACCAATTACTGCATAAAATTTCTAGAGGAAACAACATGAGAAGGAAAAACACTTATTGGTTGAACTAGCATGCTAACAACTTGCATAGTAAGGAGGGGTCAACCACAGGCATGGCACATGGCAAATTAATGAAAGTGGCGCATTTCATTAAAATGCTGCTGCCTCTTTTATCATTCAAATTAAATTCATTATGTAGGTTAACAAATTACCAACGAATTACTATTGAACAAGACCATAATAATAAATCTGGCACACCACTGACCTGGCTAAGCGCAGTCAGTCACTACACCCTCTCTGCAAACACACAAAAAACGTACCCAGGTTATTGAATGCCCCTCTCCCTGCTGCCACACACTCATCGTGACACTGCCTGCGGACTCTGAACAGTGAGTCCTTGGTTACGATGGATTTCTCCAGCAGCTCAGCAGCCTTCGCCCAGTTCTCACTATAATATGCGCGTACCCCGCTGTAATACAAAAAGTCATACGGCTGTAGAAGTGACAAAACATTAGGGCTACCGCCACCGGGAGTTGCAAAGGTAGAATTCCCTAATAGTACAATAGTAAACTGAAACGCCACGTATACAGTGAAGCGACAAGAGCGCAGCGCCATGGTCCGAGAAATAAACTCTCCGTGAAAGAGATGGAGCTCGGAGAAGAGGAGGGACTAACTATGGAAATATTTTGGGAACTAAGGAGATGTAATCCAGAAAGTTTCCTCCCGTTTGAGGAATGTCAATACTGTTGTTTCAAGTGATGTATTCACTGTTAGCGTCTACGACCGGTATTGTAGTTTGTATAAATCAAAATGAACGTACTTATTTACTTGCTTTGAACTTGTTAATGCTATGCTACGTATTTACCAGAAGACCATTGGTAAAACACTTGCAATACTGCGGTGTAGCCGCGAGAGGAAGCAGTTGGAGTTCAACGGGCGTTACCGTAACAAATAAAATAAGTTGACTCCCAAATAACGCTTTTTGGCTCTTTTTACAACAAAGAAGCCCATAAATAGCCTTACAAAATACAAAAAGGTGTACCAATTTAGTCTGTTCACTGCATTTATTGTACATTTCAAATTAAATCTTCTTCATTTAAAATACTGAAAGTCCAAGCTTTGTTGTTCACGGCACATGTATTTAACGTGTTACGGTAAGGAGTCGCAGCCCCGTGCGTTCGGCCTTCACTCAACATAAGTCAGCGTGTCATGATTCATTCAGCCAAACACAGACAGCAGGGGACGGGCTGGGCAACGGTTGTTCTTTTGAGCCGGGGAATTACGAGGCTTGGGGTCCAAACTCAGAGGAGCAAGTTGTCCCACTGAAAGGCGAAATAGCTATCTTGTCATGGCGGATGTTGGTGAGGTTTTGATGTCGGTTTTGTCCACAATTCGGGTTCCCAAGCCTGGGGACCGTGTTCACAAAGACGAATGCGCCTTGTCATTTGCCTCACCGGTGAGCCATCTTCCCTTTAAAACCAAAAACGTCAGCTAATAAATAGTGGTGTTGCATTTATTTTTCTCTTCTACCCGCTCTTGTTTTGAGCCGATGTAACGTTTTGTTAGCGCTGTTCACTTGAAGGCACTGGCTTCTTATATTTCCCTGTTTCAACTAATGTCAGTGAAGTAGCATGCTAGCGTCGTGCTAAGCTAATAATTTCGCTCTAATGGTAATTTAGCTGCTCTGGCTTGTTAGCTTGTCGTCTTAGTGGGTCTGCTGTCAAACTAGCTAGCAGGCTAACTTCGTCGGTTTATCTTCATGACTATGGCGGGATATAACTTTGTCCGATAATATCAAAGTCTTAACAGTAGAAGTTTATTGTAGACTTGAATAACATGGGGCTAAGGCGGAATTACAACCATAAGCAGGCTCGTTGTATAGCTAGTTAGTTGGTTAAAATGTAGTAACTGATGCTGTGTCATGGTTAAGCCACCTACAATGTACCCGGCGTTAGCCAACTTTCCAGTGTTGTCTCGATGGAGAGAGACACCTGATATTGCCTATGTCTTTTTACAGGAGAGTGAGGGGGGACTGTATGTATGCATGAACAGTTTCCTGGGCTTTGGGAGTAAGTATGTGGATAGGCACCATGCTCGGTCAGGCCAGAGGGCTTACTTGCACATCACCCGGACTCTTAAGGCAAAGGTAGACACTTAATTCTACTTTTTGACATATCTCGACATCCACCATGGATACATGTTTAAAAATTTTGACATTATCAGCAGCATCGCTTTCCATGTCCAGTGAACTAGTCTCACTGATACACTATGTTACTCTAACAGAAGGAAGATGACAATAACTCTGGATCTGGACACCCACCTAAGAAAAAGCCCACCCGATTAGCTATAGGTGAGTGCATGAGAGAGCATTTATACAAACAAAGATTGTATAGAGGTCCTCTTTTGAGTCTCACCCTGTGTCTCCCGCTCCTCCTTGTTTCTGATCTGTCCAGGGATTGAAGGAGGTTTTGATCTAGAGCTGGAGCAGTATGAAGAAGATGTAAAGGTGGTCATTTTACCTGATGGACAGGAAGTGACATCAGAAGACCTTGCTAACATGCCTGACGTTGTGAAAGAAAGGGTAAGATACTGTTTTTTTTTTCTGGCAAGAGAAATGTTATTCTGCTAAGGTCACAGCAAATAAATGTAGCGATAGCTTTCATTAGTACAAGGACATAGCATAGGCGTGATGCAAGCATGGGAAATCTTCACAGGTCTTTGACAAGTTATTCCTCATACGATATATTGTAGATGCATCCCTGCATATTAGAATACTGGGGTACAAGCAAGCAGTTCAGAAGTTCATGAGCTGTTGTACAGGTCTAATTCGTTACTTTCATCTCATTTGCTGTCCCTCAAGGTGTCCCTGTCAATGGCGGGTATTATGGCAGCCGACTCAGTGTCTCATACCTTACAAGTTCAACAATGGGACGGAGAAGTGAGACAGGAGTCGAGGTATGCTGCTGACCTTAAACAGCTTGACAATGGGGTGAAGATCCCTCCCAGGTGAGACAAAGCAGTTGCTGAAATAAACCTATCATGCAGTTGCTTAGTGATTTGAAAACAAAGCTCCTCCTACTGTTTATTCCAATAAAAGTTGATAAAGTAATGTGCCAAACTGTAAATACACTAGCTGTCATTAAATAATGTCTAGCACTTGCAGTGGTGTACAGTATTCAGTAAAGAGAATGTCCTGGTAATAACACTGTTACATTTAGGATCGGCTGATCCATTACTGTGTTAATTGCTACTGTTTTATCTTCTATGAGATAAATACTAGGATAGGGATAGCTGGTCAGTTCTGTTATTCAAATCCTACAAGAATATGTGTATATTGGAGGGTTTATTTTACTTTACTTTCCTCTGTCTAAGTGGCTGGCGATGTGAGGTGTGTGACCTCCAGGAGAATCTTTGGATGAACCTGACAGATGGCAAAGTGCTGTGTGGTCGCAGGTATTTTGATGGCTCTGGGGGCAACAACCACGCCCTTCTCCACTTCCAGGAGACAGGATACCCACTTGCTGTGAAACTTGGTACCATCACTCCTGATGGAGCAGGTAAGCGGATCCTTTAAATATGTTCAATATCAATATGTTGCCTGCCTTGAGTCTCCTTGAATGAAAATTGTTGAGCTGTATTGAGAATGTACATTTGTCTGAAGCTTAGTTCTTCAGTGTCCTCAATTGTCACATTTGTTATGTTTGTCTAGATGTGTATTCTTATAATGAGGATGACATGGTACTGGATTCCAAGTTGCCAGAGCACCTAGCTCACTTTGGCATTAACATGATGACCATGGAGAAGGCAAGTTCTTAGTGTTTCTCTTGTTTTTAGTGGAAGCAAACTATTTTGTGATTTATTTTTCTCTCATTAACCATTGTAAAGACAAAATCAACCACTTTTTATGGCCAACATCTTATCAGCAGAGATATCATTAAATTTTAGAGTTAGGTTAATGTAAGTTTAGGTTATGTAGTTATGATTAAGATTATGCTACGTTTTCATGGAAATGAATGTAAGTCAATGTATTGTCCCTGAGAATATGGAAGTCAGACTGTGTGCATGTGTGTGTGTATAAAAACAAACAGTATTTTTCAAGTGTTGTTGTCATTGTATTATTACTCAGAGCCTATGTTAACACAGTCATATCTCTCCTTGTATTTGTAACATTGATGACATTACCCCTCATCTTATCTGCCTACATTTCCCAGTTATTTCTTCCACACCTGGTTCTTCTTTGGTTCCCTGCTGCCATTCATTTCTTTGCCACCTGCTTCTCCTCTCATGCAGACAGTTGTCAAACTCTTGAGATCTTTATACATCTCACTGTGTACTGTAATGTTGTTTCTTGTCTTGCAAATGTATTACTGCATAGATTTAATGATGTTGCACCGACGGGGGTGGAGGGATTATGCTATAATGCAAAGAAGACAAAGTGCAGCACTTAGTGTTGTTATGATGTGTTTGATAGTGTTGCCTGTCTGCCTGCTGTCATTACTACTTTTTATTGACTAATTTTGCTTGTCATTCTCAAAACTTGTTTATATATGAAAGCTGCTACAAAGATTTTAATTTGCCTGTACCCTGAATCCTTTGTTCTCTCATCCCCTTGACATCTCTGTTCTCAGACTGAGCAGACTATGACAGAGTTGGAGATTGCTGTGAACCAGCGCGTCGGGGAGTGGGAGGTGATCCAGGAGTCAGGGACCACTCTACGTCCCCTGTTTGGCCCCGGACTGACAGGCATGAAGAACCTGGGCAACAGCTGCTACCTCAACTCTGTCATGCAAGTGCTCTTCACCATTCCAGACTTCCAGAGCAGGTCAGTACCCTCTTACTCATAGCTCCCCATCCTCCAGTATCTCCCAGTTATGATGACCATGTCTTTGTCAATAGTATAGCACTGTGTTAATTCTTGTGTCAAGTTATTCGTTATTTCTTTAAACAGTGAAAATGTTCACTCTATACAATAAAAGTGAGTTCCTTAAACTAAACGGTGTGTTTCATATGTCTTTCAGGTATGTGTCTAACATTGACAAAATCATTAATGAAGCTCCAAGTGACCCCACCCAAGACTTCAAGACCCAAGTGTGAGTGTCCTCTCTTTGTGTTCAACATTATAAGACAAGCTCTTGTATTACTAGTGGATGTCTGTAAACACCCCTCAGTGGTACAGCAAGATTGCAAGGACAGTGTTTAATAAAACAATGTTTTCCATACATTGATTTATTTGTGGCAGGCTGCCACAATATCAACATTGACCATCACATATTGATTTAAGATGGGATAAATATTATTTCAGTGTAGTGCTGTGCGTAGCGTATATATTTGCTTAGTCTCTCCGTGCCCCGCTCTTTCTCTCTCACACAAATACATCACAACCATGACAACTGACCGTCTGTGAACAGCTCCTCCTTTTCATGTTTGTTTTCTTTTAACACAACACTGTCCAACTTCACTGATATGTCATTTGCAAGCTAGTAAGGCTGGCTAAGCTAGTGTCAGAATACAGCTGTTGCCGAGGTTAGCAAACTGCATATATAGCATGGATATATATGGACTGCTGTGCAAATGGATAAAGTTAATGCTAGTTCATAAACTCTGACGCTGAATGTTTGACTTCTCAGTCCAGGGAAATATCGAAAAACACATGGGAAACCTGATCAGTCCAGTCATTGTGTGATTTGTATCAAATATTTATTGGTTTCAACCAGTGCAGCTGAAGCAGTAAGAGAGGGATGGGAAGAGAGATGTAAGAGGAGGGCAGCAGCCAACATGCTGCTGCTGTAGGAGAGCTAGTGCAGCTGGGACAGGCCAGATAAACAGCATTAAAAAGAGAGGGGGAAAAAAAAAACAAACAAACAAAAGCATCCATGTTCTCCCTGTGCCTGAATGGGTTCTGTCCGGGTACTCCGGCTTTGGGGGAAGAAATTGTCCTTGTGCCTGGTTGTCTTGGTGCACACTGACCTGTAGCGCCATCCAGAGGTTAGGAGTTCAAATAGATTGAGTCCAGGGTGTGAGAGGTCTGCAGAAATTTTCTCCACCCTCCTTTTGACCCGTGAGATGTACAGGTCCTCCATGGAGGACAGGCTCACACTAATGACCTTTTCTGCAGTCATGACTGTCCGCTGAAGTCTGTACTTGTCCTGTTTGGTTGCTGAGCCAAACCAGACAGTGATGGGGGTTCAGAGAACAGACTTGATGATTCCTCTGTAGAACTGTATCAGCAGCTCCTGGGACAGGTCAAACTTCCTGAGGTGGTGCAAGAAGTACATCCTCTGCTGTGCCTTCTTGATGACGGTCCTGATGTTGGACGTCCACTTCAGCTCCTGGGACATAGTGGAGCCCAGGAATTTGTAGGACATTACTGCTGCTACAGTTCTGCTAAGTATGGTGAGGGCGGTTGGGTAAGGTGGGAGGTCTCTTCCTGAAGTCCACTGTCATCTCCACTGTTTTGAGCGTGTTCAGCTCTAGGTTGTGGTGACTACACCATAGGACCAACTGCTTAACCTCCCGTCTGTAGGCTGACTCGTCACCATCTCGGATGAGACCAGTGACTGTTGGGTTGATTGGCAACTCTAAATTGCCCCTAGAATTGAGTGGGTGTGTGAGGTTGTATGTCTCCAAGTGTCAGTCCTGTGACAGACTGGTAACCTGTCCAGGGTGCACCCTGCCTCCCTCCCAATATCATCAGGGATAGAGGTTTCTGCACCCCTGCAACCCTTTTCAAGATAAACTGTATAGATTATGGATGGATTGATAGTCTGATATGTTCTACATTACTCATGTAACATGTTGCTTTTTTGCTGTTATTGATATTTAAAACTGCATAACAGTCTGGTATAGTGCAGTTGTATATGTATTTAATATGTATTTATATGTTTTCAGATTTAAAAAACAAATCTGTTCTGCTCTGTGCATGCAGCCTAATCCTAAACATAAGCTTTACTTTAATTACACAAATGTTTTTATTCTCTCCAGAGAGAGTCTTCTCTCTGATTAGACATTTTGGCATGTTATTTTAAAGCCAAAACAATTACATAAAGGCCTATATCCAAACCCTGTATGAGACTCTGGGATATTGTTGAATGTGTAATAATGTCAGCTTTGCTTTTCACAGAGCCAAGCTCGGCTATGGCCTGTTATCAGGAGAGTATTCCAAACCAGCACCAGACCCTGGAGACGAAAATGGTGCATCTGAACCCAGGGTAGGAACAAATAGTCAACCACAGTTTTAACCGATGTTTATGACATTGGATTTACTCTCAGAAATGAGTAGGAATGTGGTGTACCTAGTATCTGCTCTTACCATTGATAAGTCATGCTTTTGTTTGCAGAGAGATCAAATGGGCATAGCACCACGAATGTTCAAAGCGCTAGTTGGACGGGGTCACCCAGAGTTCTCCACCAATCGACAACAGGATGCTCAAGAGTTTTTATTGCACTTCATAAACATGGTGGAGGTGAAGTAACACTCACTCTGCCTCTCTTTTTTTCTCATGTCAACTTTTTTTTTTAATGTTGTATCATTATTCTCTTTTACACACAGCGAAACTGTCGCTCTGGGCCCAATCCATCTGAAGCCTTTAGGTTCCTGGTGGAAGAGAGGATTGTGTGTCAGCAGTCGCAGAAGGCCAAATACACACAGCGGGTGGATTACATTGTTCAGCTGCCAGTTCCCATGGACCAGGCTACCAACACAGGTGATGATGGGCTATGAAGTTTGGGTGCAGCAGCAAAGTACAAACTCAAAGCTGCATGCAGCACCTAATGTTGTGCTATGACCAGGTTTAGTCTTCATGTTCACCATAGGAAACAGTAGATCATGACAGTGCAAACTGATTCTGTCACAGGTTTGGATCATCTTGCTTACATTTGCTAACCAGCCATAAAACCAAACTATCAGTATATTTTGTGTATTTACAAAAAAAAAATGATATAAGCATATACTTATTGTAAGGATATCTTAAATTTGGTAAAATATGCACTTAGCAGCGTATTTTTCTTCTAAAAAAGTGTTTACCGGTGCTTTCAGGTAGGGCTGTACCTGACTGGATTTTGTCATTCAACTGTCGGGTCTTCAGTGTGGCGATTTGTTGTTTTTCTTTTGTTATAGACTGTCAGAAAATCATCTGGCAGGAATTTCAGTGATTATTTCAGCCACATTACAATCAGTATTTCCAGTGAGGAACAGAAATACAGTGCCTTGCAAAAGTATTCGGCCCCCTTGAACTTTGCGACCTTTTGCCACATTTCAGGCTTCAAACATAAAGATATAAAACTGTAATTTTTTGTGAAGAATCAACAACAAGTGGGACACAATCATGAAGTGGAACGAAATTTATTGGATATTTCAAACTTTTTTAACAAATAAAAAACTGAAAAATTGGGCGTGCAAAATTATTCAGCCCC